AGGCGGCCAACGCGCGGGAGCGGGACCGCACTCAGAGCGTGAATACGGCCTTCACGGCGCTGCGCACGCTCATCCCCACCGAGCCGGTGGACCGCAAGCTGTCCAAGATCGAGACGCTGCGCTTGGCGTCCAGCTACATCGCGCACCTGGCCAACGTGCTGCTGCTGGGCGATGCGGCCGACGACGGACAGCCGTGCTTCCGTGCGGCTGGCAGCGCCAAGAGCTCGGTCCCCGCCGCCGCCGCCGCCGCCGCCGACGGCCGCCAGCCACGCTCCATCTGCACCTTCTGCCTCAGCAACCAGCGCAAGGGGGTGAGTGGCCGCGCTCGCGACCGGGGGTTCGGGCTCGGCGGGGACAGGGCCTTTCCGGGAGCCGGAGGTGCAGAGACCCCAGTGGAGCCAGGGTGAAGCAACTGGGCTTAGTGCGGCGTGGAACAGAGACACTTGCCTCCTGACCCCCAAACAGAAGGGTGCGGGGAACCCCTGAGCTCCGCTCTGCTTTCATTACGCATTGACGGATACCGTTCCAGCTAAACGTATACTGAGACGTCTTTCCTCCCGCAAGAGGGATGAGGACAGTGTAACTCACACCTCACTTGCAGAGCGCTTCCTTTCTCTGTGCTCATGCACTTCTTGGCCTCCTTCCCCACCAGAGCACCAGTTGGCAGGTATGTTTTTCCCTGAGTTTGTCAGGAGGAGGACCTGAGGCCCTGGCAGATGAAATCCCCTGCTTGTATTTACAAGGTTCAGGCTCTGGGGTTGCTGGGCATGTGATACCCTGAGCTGCTTCGTCTTCAATTGCCCCCATCCTCAGACCTGACCCTAGAGCAAGAGACCCCGAAGAAATGGGAGCACATTCTATCAGCCCAGAGTTTGAGCCCAGCTGATGAGCAGTAGGAGGAAGCAGGGGGTCCTCTGAAAGGATGTAGCATGGGAACAAGACACTTGGGGCAGCTGGACAAGCTGGAGTTAAGCTCTGGCCTTCTGTCCTAAGAGGTGAACCCGGTGTGTAGGGGTTAGGTAGGGACTGGGTAACAGCAGAAGCTGCCCAGGATCCTCTTGGCTGAAAACTTATCCACACCCCAAGGAACCTATTTCATGCCTAACCTCTCTTTTTTTCTGACCTGGGCTTTTCCTACAGAAAGGAAAGAACTATTTCTGTGACAACACTGGGTTTTAGCAGCTTCCATTTACATCTGGGAAACTGAGGCTCACAGAGTCCTGCCTGCCTCTGGGTGGCCAATGGAAGGTTATTGAGGAGGGCAGTTGCAGTCCGGGCCCCTGACTCCACCAGACTTTGGTTCACATGATTGCTCTAGATTCCCTGCCCCAGCCAAGCTGGGAAGGCCTCTGCGTCCTGGCCTCACCCCCCACTCTGGCTCATCAGACCTCCAGACTGCTTCTCATCCCTTGGCTCCCTCAGTTTCCTGAATCAGTCCTCTTAGGCTCTGATTTGTGCCCTTTCCAAGATCCCTGCTGCTTCCTGTTGTGGGTCCCTGACAGTGCCTGGCTAGGCCGGGAAGCCAGGGCTGTGCATTCAGACATACAGCCAGCAATGAAAGAGCTGCCTAGTCCCTCTATGATAACCCCTGACCGCCTCTCTCCTCTTCATGCAGCTCAGCAACCTTGAAAACCCAGCAGCTGACTTCTGTTGGCTATGAGAGTAGGCCTAGAGAAGCAGGCAGTAGGTGCCTAGCCAAGCCAGGTGCTTCCACTGATGTGTCAGGGCCAGAACAGGGCGATGAAGACAAGGATGCCGTGGTCTGATGGAGGTGGGAGGAGGGTGGCACAAAGGGACCGTCAGAACCCAGAGGAAGCCCAGACCCAGGGCAAGAGCTGAGGGGCTTCCGTGGGAAATTGCAAAGGGAGGGAGAAGGAAGGGTGCTCTAGAAATGCCACACCAGGGGCTGGGGGCCGGAATCATGGCCTAGAGAAGGAAGTGGGGAGAAGTTACAGATGGTGGGAGTGTGGAGGGGAGACAGAGACTGGCAGTGACAGTGACACTGTCTTCCTGAGCACTGATTTGTGTTACCACTTCTCTGGGTAACACTTCTCACTCCATGAGTTACCACTGAGACCCTTCAGCCAGCAGGGCGGGAGCACTGTGGCTATCCCCATTGCTGGTTCCGGTGATGAAGCAGGATCTTCATTCAAGCCTGCCTGATTGGAAAGGAGGGCAGGTGCCATTAGGAGCCTTATATGGCAGGCCTGGCAAGAAGGGCTGTCAGCCACCAAGCAGGCTGAGGGCTTCTCTGTGGGCCTCAGGCCCACCCGCTGGCTAACGGGCCGTTGCCTGGGCTGGCTGTGTCCCTGGGATCTATGTATGGGACCAAGAACCCAGCCAAATATGGCTGCAGAAACCATGCTCAACACCATGGCTCCACTGGGAATAACAAGAGAGGTGAGCCTCGCCAGCGCTGGCCCCTCCAGGACTCAGCTGAAAGAAAACTGACTGTCGTGGGGAGCCCCTGCTGCCCTCTGAGCTCTGAGGCTTGGGAAACCCCAAGGTCCCACACCCTGTCCCTTCACCCTGAGTCACCAGCTCCCTCCTTCCCTGGCCAGTCTGGGCTGGGGTTGCTGTGGAAACAGTTCCCCAGAGCACCTTGCTGCTTACAGGGCCTGAGGGATGGCCTCTGTGGTGACAGTAGTGCGTGGGAGAGGGAAAAGCGGCTCTTGTCTCTGCCCTGTTTCCCTTTTGTCCTGGGGGTGGGGGCTAGACTGGATCCTCTGGCGAGGCTGTCCTCTGTTGTGCCCAGCTCAGGAGCAGAAGTGGTAGGGGCGAAGCAGGGGCCAGGAGATGCCATCACCGAACAATGCAGGTGACCATACTTGTGAATGTGTACCGCACACTCAGTATGCTCCCTATGCTGTGCTCAGGGTTTTACCCATGGGCTTGTGTGACCCATGTTAACTTGAGCCATCTCAAAAGTAACTTCACTTTATAGGTAAAGATTCACACTCAGTGAGGTGAGGTCACATGCCTGAAGTCTGGTGCAGAGCAGGGCTTGGAGGCCAGGACTGTCACTTGAGCCCTAGCCACAGTGCTTCTTGGCACTGAGTTCATAGGCCAAAACTGGGGACTGGTCAGGGTCACTTCTAAGGGCTCATGGCAGTTTACACATTTAGCTGTGTCTGGAGCAGCAACCATTTGTCACCATTTCATAGATAAAGGAATAGGTTCAAGGAGGTAGTGGCCCCAGCATTCTCATGGGATCCAGGTGTCCAGATGACCTCCAGATGCATAGGTGGTTTCCCTAGGATTTAAAGACAGGAAGTGGGGAGGCCCATTTTTTGTCCCCAGCCCCATCCCCACACCTCCCTCCCCTGCCCTGTCCGTCCTTCTCAGCATCCCCTGCCAGAGTTTGTCTGAGAAGCCCAAGCCTAAGGCTCTGCTGGGACCATAGCCTCAGCCCTCAAAATAGCCCTGCCTGTGAGTGAACATGCTGTCCCTGGGCCCAGAAAGCCTCGAGGGAGGCTGGGCCACATCTGGATGGATCTGCCCCAACCTGGGCCCGGGATGGAGGGGGGCAGAGGCACGGCGTCCAGATGGTCTGCGACGTCCCTTGCTGGGCTGAGAAAGCTGCCGCTCCCTCCTCGCCGGGCCGGGTTCTGGGTGCTGAGCATTCACTGTGGTGTTTCAGACAGTGTAGTGTCCCCGAAGCAGGGCAGCTTGTTGGACCATATGAATTTCTAGCCAGGCTCTTTTACCAACTGGCCGTGTGCCTCTGGGCCAGCCACCCGAGGCTGGAGGCCTCAGAAGAGGGGCACTGTAACAGTACGATCTTTCCAGTCTATGTGGAAGACAAAGCCTGTGTGAACAACCTGAGAATACTGGCAAGAGGGGCTGGCAGAAGCTGCCCCTGTGGGGTGAGGGATGGGTGTCCTCAGGGACTACCACCATTAGCTCATCTTCCAGTGGCCTCAAGCAGCATTGGTTGGCACCTGCTCCGTGCCAGGCTCTGGACTGGGACAGGGACCTTAGAGTTACAAATGCTTTCTCCCTGCCACCCCCAGCCCTCTGGCCTGATGGGGAGCAAAGGAGAGACCATGCCTGCTCCTTCTGGGTTGTGTCACTGGGACTGTCCCCAAAAGGCAGGACATGCTAGGCAATTTCAGGAGTAGAGGAACCTTCCCAAAGCAACAAGACCTGTGAGCATGTTCCCAGCAAAGGGAGGACCCACCCTGGAGGAAGGAGGCCAGAAATCCTGCTCTGCTGTCACAACTGCTCAGTCAGGCCATGCCAGGAACTGCTCTGGGTTCCCCTGAGTTCCATCCCCAGCAGCGCTGGAGATCAAACCCAAGGGTGCCCTACCACTGAGCTACATCCCCATCCATTTTGAGTAATTTTTATTTGAAGATTCTCTTGCTAAATTGCCTGGAAGAGAATTTGAACTTGCAGTCCTCCTGCCTCAGCCTCCCTCAGTCCTGGGATTACAGACATGTGCCACCATGCCTGGCTAAAATTACATTTTTTTTTTTTAAATAAGGGAATGAGCACATGGGGAAGACATGGAAAAGGTAAAAGAGCATATAAAGTGAAAAGGCCTCCCTCCCATCTGTCTCCCCATCATCAAATTTCTGTCCTCTGAAGACACTACCAGCAATTTCTTGTGTGTGCTTCTGTCTGGAAGGTATAACATATGGGAGTATTCATTGAGTTCTGCCCTAGCTTTTGCCTTTAGACATTGCCTAAGTTCCAGCACTGTGTTCCCAGTGACCTGACCCATCCTCCCGACACCTCCTTCTCTCCTTCTGTAGGGTGGCCGTCGAGACCTGGGAGGCAGCTGCTTGAAAATGAGGGGGGTGACCCCACTTCGAGGGCCGCGGAGATGAGCCTGGGCCATTGCAGCATTTGTTCCAAATAAGACTCTGGAGAAGGAAGCCAGCTACTGGCTGGGCAGGGGAGAAGACCCCAGACAACATCGGACCCATCCCTTCTCTGTAGGGAGCAGAGGACAGTGGCCTGAGCCCAGGGTCCTTTGGGGAAGGCCCCTGAACATCTCCATCCCACCCTGGAGACCTGTGAGGACCCATCCAGCTTACCCAGGCCTAGCTGCTCAGAGACATTGGAAAACCAAAGACTTGGTGATCTGTAGAGGGTGTGTGCGTGTGTGTGCATGGGTGTGTGTGTGTGAGAGAGAGTTGGTGGGGTTTGAAATAAAAGTATTTTTAAATAAGAGACATCATTTCCCGCTGAGGAAGGGAAGGGACTATGAACAGCGACAGTCAGAGGTGGCCCCTTGCAAGACCTAGAAAGGGAAACAGAGTGGCAGGGAATGCCAGCCCTGGAGAAGTGAGCCAGGGGCTGGCACCCAGGCAGGCCAAGACTGAAGTGGAGGTGACCAGTCTTCCCCACAACCTTCCATGTATGCAGTGTATTGAACAACCATTTGGTGTCTGGGGCAGTGGAAGGAGAAATCCTGATTTTATTTATTTTTGCATAAGGATTAAATCCATGTTCAAAGTCAAGGTGTACGAGGACATAGGATGATGTCTCCATGACCTCCAGCCATTATGTCTCCTCCCGAAGGCTGCTTGGTCACTGTTTCTGTGATATCCCCTCCCCTGTGAATAGTCAAGCAAATGCACAAAGCATAGGACACTATGCACCTTCTGCCACATCCTTTTTCCCCTTAATCTAGACGGCTGTCACTCCTAATCAGTACAGAAGCAGTGCCCTGAGTCCTCTATTAGCAGATCTTTCCATTTTGTGAATGAGCCCAACTTCAGCCCAACCTTTGATGCTGTCACCAACGAGTGGTGGGCGCGCGGTTCCCCGCACACGCACCGAGTGAGTGCTAAAGGCGTACACTCTCACCCTTGCTTCAGCAGAAATGACTTGGAGGACTGATGACACCCACAGGCACACGGCAGGGTGACACTCTCCGGCCTGTCTGCTGTTTAAAGCAAGCCCAGAGCAGCACCTTCCCCCTCCCAGTGGCGTGCCAGTCCCTGGGACCCTGGGCTCGTGCCCAGCGGCCCTGATGGTGAGAGGTGTGTCAGCTAAGGTGAAGATGGGGACAGGACTGGTCACGGAGCAGGAGTCCTTGGCACTCCAGCTGGCCCTGCCCCTGTGAGGCTAGAGTCACAGGGCTCAGGAGGCCTGAAGGAGGGGAGGGCAGGGAGAGGCTGGGGCAGCGGCCAGGTACATTCACATATCTATTTTCATTCACTGAACAAGATCTTTCTGTAATGTTGGCATTGTGCAGTTAGGTTCTGCGTCCGTGCTCACATTTCCTCCCATGCTCTTGACCCTCTGATGAGCCCAAATGGGGCCAGCGCGTGTGCCAGGCTCTGTGCCAGTCACCACAAGGCTGAGCCTGGGCCACCTGGCTTTTCTCACAATGAAAACCCTGGGAGAACAAGGAGTGACTAGAATTGCCAGTCCCAAACCACCCACTTAACCCAAGAGCTTTCCAGGCGCCCTCCCCTCCCTTCCCAGTGTCCCACGGAAGCCATCTTTCCTATCCTGTGTCCCGTGGGGCCGCACTTCCCCTTCGGGAGCTAATTAGGAAAGCACATTGCTCGCCCTGTGCCTACTTTGGTCCAGGTACAGGCAGCCTCTGGCAAAGCCACAGGAAGAGGACCATGACCTTGTCAATGACAGGAAACCTGGGAGTGGGGGGCAGGGCAGATACTTGGGTGCACTGGGCTGGAGGCCCTCTTCTGCCAACAGATTTGCTGGGTGACCCCAGACATGTTGCTTGACCCCTCTGGGCCTTCCTGGCTTAATCACTAACCAGCAAGAGCAGCTAGAACAGAAGAAGTGTTTCGTTTTTACTGTGTTCGATAATTTTGAATAGGTCACTTATGAGCTGGGCAAATAGTTCAAGTCATATCAATAGTGTGCAGTGAAAACTACACAGTCCCCCAGGTGCCTCCCTGAAGGCAGCTCCTGTTTCCTGTGAGTCCTTCCAGAAAGACTCTCCACTGATTATTACTGCTGAAAAAATATCCATAGGTTTCTCTGCTGATGTCTTTATGGTAAAGAGTCCAAACAATGAGACCCTAGAAATAAAACCCACCCCAAAGACAACCACAGCCGTTTTACACACACACACACTTAAACAGCCAGCCATCTACAGCATCCTGACTGCAAACCTCATCCACACACAGCATTGGTACCCGGAAGTGCACTTGTGTGGCCCCGCTCCTCAGATACTCACCGACTCGGCACACCTGGATACCCAGCAAGCAGTTGCAAGATGCAGTCAGCAGCTCCTCAGGAGCCTGGTGCCAGCACTTCCTCTCGCGCTGAGCTTTTCCAGTCATATCTCCTTTGAAACAGATAATGCACGCACAGAGCTCACCATTCAAAAGACACAAAAGCGAATGAACTGACAATAAGTCTCCCTCCCAGCCACTCAGTTCTGGTTCTCAGAGGCAATTACTGTTAACCAGGGTCTTATGAATTCCCGCAGAGAGAAGGATCTGCATACATAGGCACTTTACACACACACACAGTTTACCCACACAACTGACAGCCTTTTACACTGCTCTGTGCTTGGATTTTTCCCCTCCCAGTGCTGCTCAGAGCCCACCGTGTTCCCTAAGCTGTTCTACCCTGTTCCCAGTTGCATAGTGCTCCCTTCTACACACTGTGCCACTTGCAGGCTTCCTGGACAATGGACAGTTAACATCCATGAGTCTCTGAGAGCTGCAGGACCAGCCTGCACACGTGACTTGGGAGAAGCACAGCTGTGGACCAATACCTCTGGGGCCATTTTCCTAATACTGCCCCTCCCCTACACGCACTTCCCACCTCCAGGTGGGACACCCCAGCCAGTCTTCTCCAGGCGAGCTGGAGGCCAGAGGAGTTAAACTCCTCAGGGAGAAGAATCCCAGGGCTCAGGAGAGTGTGATGATCAGGATGAGAAAGATCTCAGCCTCATCGTTTCACAGCAAGGAACCTGAGACAAGACTGGAGGAGACCTGAGATCCCCTAGCAAGTATCTGGCTGTGCTGGACCACCAGAACCAGGCCTCCCCCCTTTCCAACAGCTCTCTATCCTCTAATTCCACAGTCACAAGTGCGAAAGTTCAGAAGTCACCCACAGCCATGGGAAACAGAGGGGCAGTGGTGGGCCACAGGTGCACAACATTTAGTGCTGAACGGGGTTTATTTAGCGTCCAGCGCCCCTCCCTTGTTGGCCCAGGCCACTTCCATTTTATGAAGCACCTATTACAAGCTTAAAAATTAAAATAAGGCTAGGGAAATGGCTCAGTGGTAGAGTATGTTCTCAGCATGCGTGAGGCCCTGGGTTCAGTCCCTAGCATAAAAAGTAATAGTAGTTGTAAATAAAAACTTCGCAGAAGAACGATAGCCTATCTATTAGCAGGTTAATTCTTACCTGCCTGCACGCAGTCCCGAAGCAGAATGCATCACCTTGCAAACATAAAATAATTAGAGCATTTACAGAAACATCAGCTCCTGGGAAGCACACACAAAGGTGAAGGCGTCTGTGCTGCCTGTGTCTCTTGCACTCTACATTTTGGCTCCTGAGTTGGCTGTGATATCAGAGTCCAGAACTGGACAGCTACATGCGATGTGTGACCTTGGACTGGAGCCTGTACTATGGGGGATTGCCACAGAGAACATTAGTAGGACAGCTGACAAAATTAGAATTGGGACAATAAAGTACTGTACCAAAGGTAAATTTTCTGCATTTGCTAACAGTTCTATGGTTATATAAGAGGATATCCTTGTGCTTAAGAAATTAGTATTCTTCAGGGATAGAGGAGCGTGATGTAGGTAACATACTCTCAAATGGATCTGAGAAAATAAAAATGCCTGTGGGAGAGAAGGATAAAGCACACGTGGTGACTTGTGTAAATTTGGAGAATCTAGGTGAAGAGTATCAGGGCTCCACACACTCCTTTCGATCTCTGCATGTCCATAAATGATTGCAAAATGAGTTAAGAAGCCAGGACCTTGGCACATGAGGATGTGAGGGCTGCCAAACCATCCCCTGTTCCTCCCTGACCCATCCTTGCCTTGGCCAACACAACAGAGGACAGAAAAGACCCGAGGGGACACAGGCACCCTGCCTGTGACTCTCAGCCCCTATGCCGCTCTGGAGGCTAAGGTGGTCCAGGCCCCCAAGCCTCCTGCCACCATGATTTATGTCCTTGTGAGCCTCAGCAGCTGTGAGCTCGGGTCCCACCGGGCGGCCGGCTGGGGGGCCAGCCTTTGCTTCTCAGCGTGTCTAATCCAGACCAGACTCACAGACCCCATGAGCCTGGGATCAGCCTCCCCAGGGCCCTGGGTCAGAGGCCAGGCCAGCAGGGCCTGGAAACTGAGGGGAGGGGTGGTGCTGAGGATGAACCAGCTGGAAGGCAGGAGACCTCGCCCAGTCTAGGTTGGCCACTGCTGCTGTGTGACCCAGGGTGGGTATCTGCCCCTCTCTGAGACTTGCTGTTGCTCATCTCAGCATAGTCCGCACACAGTGAACCAGAAAGCTTTGTCAACTGAGAAAGACTGATTTTGAGGAAGGAAAGCTAGTAAAACAGAAGAGTGGGCTTTTTCTGAATACCCAGGTTCCCTAGGCTTAGAAAAAAATTTCTGACTTTTCTGAGGGCCTGCTATGTGTCAGGCACCAGTCTATATGATGGGCATAACAAAACTAATATAGTCTGCTCAACAAGCTTGCTAGGTACGTGCTATTATTGCCCTATTTCATAGATGAGGAAGGGGAAAGACAAAGAGGTTAAAGAACAACAGTAAGCAGGTGGATGTGAGCCAGTGGCTGGCCACAGAGGCCCTCGGCTCTCACCCAACACCCTGACAGGTCCACTAACCCACAGCCTGCTCCACTGACTGACCCAGAGACCCCACCACATTCCCCCAGTGCACATAGCCAGGTACTGTTGCCTTCCCACTTTCCGCACTGGAAACCCAAGCCCAGGATCACACAGCCAGGAAACGGCAGAGCCAGAATTCAAACCCCGGAGATCTCACTTCAGATCCCATGGCCCAGGCCACCACAGGAGGCAAAACTCTCAGGAGGCATGGGACAGGGTTTAATGGCATAGGTCTCGGAGTCCGACCTTTCCTCTGGCCTGGGCCGCACTGAATGAGGGGGAGTGGTCTTAGACTATATATAAAATATAAATAATATAATATATAAAATATATAGCATAGTTAATATAGATAAGTAACAAAACTTCCTTTATTTTTAAAATAGTATAACAGTAAAATAA